TGTTTATCCCAAAGGCTCTAAGAAGTAGCCAGGGATGCCAAAGGTGGTACTACTTTACAAGTTTATGTTAGGTTCAATGATCGATGTCGCCTTGATTATTCGGGGCATGTTGAGAGACTACTACACCACGAGCAAGACAAAGGAGAACATGCCCTTTATTAGTATGATTACCCAACTTTGCCTAAAAGCTGAGATGAAGAAGTTGGCATCAAACACTATGAGACCTTCTAAGCTAGGCCCTATCAGCAGTGTGGAGAAGAAGAGCTCGAGCATATCAATGGCTAATGGTTCAAAGAGTAAGAGTAAGACCACTTCTTCCACTACTACTGATGTTACTATAGAGACTATTCCTACCTCTTGTGCCACTGTGAATCAGAGTGTGAGCAAGTTGGAGGAAAGACTAGCTGGCATTAAGAGTGCAAGGAGGACTACTAGGAGAGCCCAGGAGATGATCAAGTCCAAGGTGGACATGTGCATGGGGATGTTGAGGAGGATATTTGAGCTTGTTTTCCCTAAAGATGTGATTCCAGGTGAGATGACAACACCTACTTCTACTTCTACTCCTACCCCACTCTTGGACGATGTTCCATTCCCATTTCCTCCACACCTCTTAGCATGGCCATGAAGAGCACTACTGAGGATGATGAGTCCTCAGAATAGGAGGAGGAGAATAATGATAAGGATGGGGACATAACATTGCATATTGTAGGCCTCATAATCATTCATCTTAGTCATGTTAATCACTTAATTCCTTAGAGGATTTGGAAGATGAGCTAAGAGGTCCAAGAGTAAAGCTAAGGCCACAACAACCAAAATTGAGAAAATATTCTTCCTACCTGTATGTCTTCTACTGGTACAATAAAGGGTAGAAGTTGGTTCTACTTGTAGGTTAGTACTTCCTACCGGTAGGTTGAAGACAGAGAGGCGTTCTACCAGTAGGAGAGTAAGGCAACCTATAAGAGGAAAACGGTGAGCTATCCTATCATTAGGTCGTTTTTTGCTTCCTACCGATAGGTTCCTATAATGTCAAAAGTCAAGACTCATAAAGAAGGCAATCTGCTGAATATTTTGAGAGCCATGATTAGTGGATAGAAAGTAGTATTTTCAGCACAAGACCTCCTATAAATACTCAAGTCTTGCAGGAGAAAGATAGAGTGCCATTCCATCGTTCAATTCACTTTTCTTTTCTTTTCTCTTTCCTAGAGTTTTTGATTTTCTTCTTCTTTTAATATTTCTCCTTTTTTTTATTTTAAAAGCTTTATTTCAATACAAATATTAAATTCTTGCAATGCAATTACTATTGTTCCTTTCTGCAAAAGATTTACAGTCATTGCACTTTCAATACAAGGTATTTATTTTTCTTGCAATTTCAATTCTCGCAATTTCAATTATTGTCTTTTGCTCACATTTAAAATGCTTAAGTTAATTGCTTTTAATTTCAATTCAGTCATGAATGATTAGTCATTCACCGATTTGATCAGATAAAATAATCTCATACGTGAATTGAGGGTTTTGACTCAAAACTAGGGACTGTCTACTATGGGGTTATTTGGGTTAATTGAACGGTCTAAATTGAAAATGCTAGCGAATTGTATATCTTTTTGCTTACCCGTCGACAACTAAGACTTGACATAGAAAAATTTTGTAATCACTAAAATCGAAGTGAATTCGTTTTAATAAATTTAATTATCTTGAATGCATATTTGTTATTTGTTAATTGTGTTAAATGAATATCTACCGCTTGAGTGCGTTTGATCACAATCTCAAGTGAGTTATAGAGATTGTGTCAAAATACATATTCATGGTGAGGTGATCTCTATCGATCAATCAGTTCTTTTCTTTAATTGTTTTATTTTAAAGTGATCAATTCTTCCAACAAACTTCCAAAATTTAAAGTTTTTATTTTCTTTGACCATCACCTCTTGAACTACTCATTTTCCTTGAGGAGAAGACCTCGGCAATAGATCGAGTTACAAAAATGATACCCTTTCCTATGCTTGGAAATTCATCGATAATTATTCAACTCTAAGGAGCAAGCAACTATCAAATAGAGTGCCAAACTAATGGGTTAGGTCAAGTAATTTAAGCATTGCTAATGCCCGAGCAAATTGCTACTAGATTATTCCCAACTGAACCGATGAGCTTGGATTGGTTAAACCATTGCTAATAGCCAAGATAAACCTCAGCTCGCTGACATAAATTAGCCCAGGACACCCATAATCATGAAGATCACTCCATTCACAAAAGTGTGATAAGAATGAATCACAGTTAAACATTATCAACATGACCAAATGAAGGGATTGATAAGGAATGATGNACTCGCTGACATAAATTAGCCCAGGACACCCATAATCATGAAGATCACTCCATTCACAAAAGTGTGATAAGAACGAATCACAGTTAAACATTATCAACATGACCAAATGAAGGGATTGATAAGGAATGATGGGAGGAATCCTAGCCTTCATCACAAATAGTTCGACTAAATATAAGATGTGCCACCTAGTGTTGCCAAAAGAAAGAGACCCAAGAACAGGGTCCAAAACACTATAAATTGGGTAAGCAAAAGTCAAAGGTATGCACTACATTTCCTTGCAATTAGCTTTGATTACGTCTTGAAACTCTACTGACTAAAGCATCGGAGGGCCTCCGGTTAGTCCATCCTGGTCTTTGGAAATTTGTTCATTTTGCAGGGGAAGTGGTGTAGCGTTTCTTATTCGTTTGTTCCCAACCAAATCACTAAAGTAGTAAGAGGTCTCTTTTCACCGCTTACAAACATTGAACACTACATAGTAGATCTCATATCCTCTCTCTCTCCCCCTCCCTCCCACCGACTCACTTAAGTATTGGAGGGGATATATCGAAGGATCCTCCGACCTACTTCCTAACTCTCCTCGGTGTTTGTAGCAACCGTAGTGAAGATCATACAAGTGTCGCTATCCTTTTGGTTTCCATAAATCATCCCGAACACCCACACATACAATACGTAACATCAACATTCTTTTCAGAAGTTCAAAATGAGCATTTGGCTTAATAAGAAACATAAGTTTTGTAGGAAACTAAGGTCTTTTTTGGTTTGAGTCTCAAAAAGTTGTATCCGAAAACTATTTTTGGTAGAGTTTTAGAAATATTTTTTGATGTTTTTTTATGTGACATAAATTATTTGGTTATATGATTCAAAAAATAGTTATATAGAATAGAAAATAGTAAAATTTGTTGGAATATTAACTCATAAAACAATGAAAATAGAAATGTGTTATGAGTGTGGTGGTAGTGTTTTCTAAATTTTGAAAATGCTGTTTCAAAAAACACATAAAATAACATTAAATTGTTATCTAAATTTACCCACTTTTTTTTCTTAGTTTTCAAAAACAAAACATAAATAAAAAATAGCTGACCAAACAACTTTGTCACAAAAAGTGTTTCTAAAAACAGAAAAACAGTTTATGAGATGCAAACCAAACATGGCATAATTTTCTACATATTACACTTTTCGTAAAGTTGTATAGAGAATCCAACAGTTGTGGTTTGGTTCCAAATTTCAAAGGGGTTACATTTAGTTTCTAAACTACACGGGGTAAATTGTTATAGGACAAATTTATTCAAAGGTATTTAATTCAAAATTGATTTCAATGATTGCAAAGCAGTATGAAATGGTGAGGGCCTTTATCATGAAACGTGTGTACATCCACCAGACTTCTATGAAATTGAAATTGATTGGATTCTTTCTATGGCGATGATGCAGATTGCAGGTTTGAATGATCGCTTTGCTTATAATGAAAAGGAAAGAGAAGGTCTTCGGACATTTTATCCAGTTCAGGGGGAGCACTTTCTTGATCGCCTCATTCTTCAACCATGGCTTAAGATGTGGCTAAAGTCTCTCCGCGTCCTTTCTAGTCTAGTGCAATCAATAACCAAAAAGGTCTTTAGAGCAAATAATAGTGAAAGAAGGAAATGATTGACCCTCCCCCCAAGTAACTTACGTCAACAAACTCATGCACAAAGAATGAAGAACAACATCTGATTAGCTCCACAATCTTTTTTTTTTTTTGAACATGAAGAGATAAAGAAGCTATTGCAATTGCTAGAGAAACTAGGCCTATTAAAGGCACAAACATAGAAGAAAGGTTGAGAGTTATCATAGAATGTTGAACTTGTCCAAAATCAAAATTGGAAAAGTTTAATATTAAGGGGGTCAAAATACCAATAGGAACATATATTCTGAAAAGCGACTTCATTTTACCCAATACAAGCTATCCTAAACCATCAAATTGAAACCATCGAATTAGGTGGTTTAGTACGGTATTGACAAAACTTCTCATTTTAAGGTTAAACGTTCGAGTCTTAGAATCCGCATTGAGGTTCGATAGTTGACCGCTATACTAGCTTAGGTAGATTCATTCCCGAAAGGAATAAGGGCACAGTTAGAAATCTTATGATCCTACTAGTAAAAGCCTATTGGATGATCTTTGAGTACTCTTTTTTGTCCCCACCCTTTTCATGTCCAAAAAAAAAACACATCAAATTGTATCCTCAAGTGCCTGAATACGATGTCAGCCCAACAGGAGCAGAAGATAGTTTTTCTAGAACCATGTTTTATTGGAAAAATTATCCTAGAGTGTGCTTAAGAGCGGAAGTGAAAACAACAAATATATATATATATANCAAATATACGCAGTTTTAATAATCTAGGAAAAAATAAATTCATAATCTTACTAGGCCAACGCCCACCACTGATACAACAAACGTGGAAAAAACTACAGAAAGCAATTGGTACAAAAAGACAAAGAATTGCTCATCATCTCAATCTTTTCTGCTCATAAGTTCCATCCGGTTTGTGGCAGCTAGTTATGGTTTGGAGAGACAGAAAGAGGGAGGGAGGGAGACGACCACTTAACAAACATTAGCTAACTATGATCAAAACCATCAAGTCGAAGCTTCTCCGGAAAACCTTATGATATATACAAGAAAGAATCTTAATGAAAAAGGATATACGCCTATCAATCCCATGCAAGTTGATCAATATTATTGACATCACCATACATTCCACAAGGGAAAAGTGCAGCATCCATAAACTCAAAGTCAAAGTTAGAGGTGTCAAATGAATTATCCACGTTCTGCTCACCGATCAAATCATTGGATTTATAAATTTGCGCTTGCCCTTCACAAGCCTGTTTCACCTGTGCCGGTTCTTGCTGTTGTAGCTGCATTTCTAATTGTCTTGCGGTTTCGAAGGGTTCAAAAGCACTAGCACCCCACGTGCTATTCTCATTTAGAACCCCAAACCCAGATGGAGTTAAGGAAGAAGATGACATGGGAGTACTTTCCATTGAATAACCACTAGATATCTCCATCACAGAAGGCTGGCTTTGAGTTCTAACATTCCAAGAAAAGTTAGGGTTTCCATGTTCAAAGGTTGGAAGGATTGAACTTTCATTCAAGGAGGTAGAATTTGAAGGATTATTACCAGCATGTGAAATTGGAGGTAGTGTTCGAATATGCGCTTTCGCACTCAAGAAAACATCTTTGGCTTGTGAAGAACTTACAGAGAATAGTGAGGAGGGTCGTTCATGGATGTGAGACAATTTACCTGCTTGATTATTAGTATTGCAATTTTGGTTAGGGGAGAGGAGATTGTGAGTGTTGGGATCTAACCCTTGAGCAATAAGCTTTTTTTTAATGCATGAGTTCCAAAAGTTCTTCACTTCATTGTCTGTCCTACCAGGTAGGTGTTTGGCTATCTGAGCCCATCTGTTACCGAGAATCCTATGAACATCAATGATGGTTCTCTCCTCTTGTTCCGTAAAAGAACCCCTTTTGAGATCTGGCCTCAGGTAATTTATCCACCTTAATCTACAACTCTTTCCACACCTTTGCAGGTCTGCAATCTCAGAGTCAAGGACCATTTCAAGCATTAACAAGATAAACAAGAGCATGATGAGAATAGAAAGACAACAGCGTACAATACCTGCTAGTTTTGGAATAGAACTCCAACAGCCATGGCCATGGTTGGTGATGTGTCTGATCAGCTTCTCATCTTCTTCAGGAGACCACAGCCCTCTCTTAATTTTCTGTTTGCTGCAACAGTGATGACCCATATCTCAATCCTCCAGTCCCCTCCCCCTCGGTAACAAATCTCATAGTCAATATATCATGGGTGTTTCTTTTTACTTCCTTCTCCAATTAATCATAGAAAAGTACATCTCTTAACAGCATACAGCGGTTTTTTCCCAAATATTAGCTATGTTATACGTGAGTGACATAGATGAAGTGTACGACATTTAATTGGGTTGTACTCATGAGAGGGAGAGTGAGAGAGAGAGAGAGTCAGAGATAGAGAGAGAGAGGTGCTGGAAATTTTACTTGGGTTGTACTCATGAGAGGACCAAAGGTCTCATTGAGTGTTTTGGCTGCTTCCAAGTTTTGTCTCGATCAACCATTGCCCTCAACTTGATTACCACTCTTCTTTAATCAAAGAAAGAAGAAAAACATCCTATCAGAGTTTATTGATATTATATACACAAAACATGACCTTTCAACAAGCAACATCCTTAACCATCTGAGGGGTGAAAGCATACAAACAATTAACTGACTAAATTCAAAATATCCACACAATTGGACCCATATCCAACGTGTCTATACTTAATATAAGCGCATATGTTTTATAGTATGGAATACACTGCTTACCGGTAGGTAATGCACGAAACAATATTATTATTAAAGGCGCAACTTGTACGAAATTATAATAACAGCTTATTTCGTATGATATTGATGCAGACGCTAGTATATAATAATTGGATGACCAACATAGGGCAATAGGTGCTGTAATTATGTTCTTGGAGAAAAATTATAATTTAGTAATTTAACCCATATGAGGAGAGACATATCATTAGTTGTAAAAATGAATGATGTAGTGTACAGTTAGGGGAAGACCTAATGATTTTGCAGAAGGCCCACATGATCATTTCTTGTATCTAAAATAGAACATAAAAGCCTCTCTCTCTCTCTCANATGGGAGGAATCCTAGCCTTCATCACAAATAGTTCGACTAAATATAAGATGTGCCACCTAGTGTTGCCAAAAGAAAGAGACCCAAGAACAGGGTCCAAAACACTATAAATTGGGTAAGCAAAAGTCAAAGGTATGCACTACATTTCCTTGCAATTAGCTTTGATTACGTCTTGAAACTCTACTGACTAAAGCATCGGAGGGCCTCCGGTTAGTCCATCCTGGTCTTTGGAAATTTGTTCATTTTGCAGGGGAAGTGGTGTAGCGTTTCTTATTCGTTTGTTCCCAACCAAATCACTAAAGTAGTAAGAGGTCTCTTTTCACCGCTTACAAACATTGAACACTACATAGTAGATCTCATATCCTCTCTCTCTCCCCCTCCCTCCCACCGACTCACTTAAGTATTGGAGGGGATATATCGAAGGATCCTCCGACCTACTTCCTAACTCTCCTCGGTGTTTGTAGCAACCGTAGTGAAGATCATACAAGTGTCGCTATCCTTTTGGTTTCCATAAATCATCCCGAACACCCACACATACAATACGTAACATCAACATTCTTTTCAGAAGTTCAAAATGAGCATTTGGCTTAATAAGAAACATAAGTTTTGTAGGAAACTAAGGTCTTTTTTGGTTTGAGTCTCAAAAAGTTGTATCCGAAAACTATTTTTGGTAGAGTTTTAGAAATATTTTTTGATGTTTTTTTATGTGACATAAATTATTTGGTTATATGATTCAAAAAATAGTTATATAGAATAGAAAATAGTAAAATTTGTTGGAATATTAACTCATAAAACAATGAAAATAGAAATGTGTTATGAGTGTGGTGGTAGTGTTTTCTAAATTTTGAAAATGCTGTTTCAAAAAACACATAAAATAACATTAAATTGTTATCTAAATTTACCCACTTTTTTTTCTTAGTTTTCAAAAACAAAACATAAATAAAAAATAGCTGACCAAACAACTTTGTCACAAAAAGTGTTTCTAAAAACAGAAAAACAGTTTATGAGATGCAAACCAAACATGGCATAATTTTCTACATATTACACTTTTCGTAAAGTTGTATAGAGAATCCAACAGTTGTGGTTTGGTTCCAAATTTCAAAGGGGTTACATTTAGTTTCTAAACTACACGGGGTAAATTGTTATAGGACAAATTTATTCAAAGGTATTTAATTCAAAATTGATTTCAATGATTGCAAAGCAGTATGAAATGGTGAGGGCCTTTATCATGAAACGTGTGTACATCCACCAGACTTCTATGAAATTGAAATTGATTGGATTCTTTCTATGGCGATGATGCAGATTACAGGTTTGAATGATCGCTTTGCTTATAATGAAAAGGAAAGAGAAGGTCTTCGGACATTTTATCCAGTTCAGGGGGAGCACTTTCTTGATCGCCTCATTCTTCAACCATGGCTTAAGATGTGGCTAAAGTCTCTCCGCGTCCTTTCTAGTCTAGTGCAATCAATAACCAAAAAGGTCTTTAGAGCAAATAATAGTGAAAGAAGGAAATGATTGACCCTCCCCCCAAGTAACTTACGTCAACAAACTCATGCACAAAGAATGAAGAACAACATCTGATTAGCTCCACAATCTTTTTTTTTTTTTGAACATGAAGAGATAAAGAAGCTATTGCAATTGCTAGAGAAACTAGGCCTATTAAAGGCACAAACATAGAAGAAAGGTTGAGAGTTATCATAGAATGTTGAACTTGTCCAAAATCAAAATTGGAAAAGTTTAATATTAAGGGGGTCAAAATACCAATAGGAACATATATTCTGAAAAGCGACTTCATTTTACCCAATACAAGCTATCCTAAACCATCAAATTGAAACCATCGAATTAGGTGGTTTAGTACGGTATTGACAAAACTTCTCATTTTAAGGTTAAACGTTCGAGTCTTAGAATCCGCATTGAGGTTCGATAGTTGACCGCTATACTAGCTTAGGTAGATTCATTCCCGANTAGGTGGTTTAGTACGGTATTGACAAAACTTCTCATTTTAAGGTTAAACGTTCGAGTCTTAGAGTCCGCATTGAGGTTCGATAGTTGACCGCTATACTAGCTTAGGTAGATTCATTCCCGAAAGGAATAAGGGCACAGTTAGAAATCTTATGATCCTACTAGTAAAAGCCTATTGGATGATCTTTGAGTACTCTTTTTTGTCCCCACCCTTTTCATGTCCAAAAAAAAAACACATCAAATTGTATCCTCAAGTGCCTGAATACGATGTCAGCCCAACAGGAGCAGAAGATAGTTTTTCTAGAACCATGTTTTATTGGAAAAATTATCCTAGAGTGTGCTTAAGAGCGGAAGTGAAAACAACAAATATATATATATATATATACTGTGGTTATGTTGGATAGAGAACTCAAACCCAACGAGAAGGGCTGCGCATGTGAAACTAAAGAATTCATACCAAATGTTTATACAGTAATCATCACATTGGATTCGGGAGCTTTTAATTTCAAGTTTTGTCAAATTAGATTAAGTTAAAAATTAAACTCATCATGCCGCATAACTGGATTAAGGATTGACAAATTAGAAACTGAGAGGATCAAAAATTATTTCAATTAATTTGTAGTTCATGTTTCCGTAACTAGTAGTTCTTGTAGTTACATTAGACAACAAAATATATATATATATATATATATATATATATATATATATATATATATATATTGAAAACAAAATCGGCCACTATTGAGACTCTGGTCACTATATAATTTAAGTGATCAAATATACGCAGTTTTAATAATCTAGGAAAAAATAAATTCATAATCTTACTAGGCCAACGCCCACCACTGATACAACAAACGTGGAAAAAACTACAGAAAGCAATTGGTACAAAAAGACAAAGAATTGCTCATCATCTCAATCTTTTCTGCTCATAAGTTCCATCCGGTTTGTGGCAGCTAGTTATGGTTTGGACAGACAGAAAGAGGGAGGGAGGGAGACGACCACTTAACAAACATTAGCTAACTATGATCAAAACCATCAAGTCGAAGCTTCTCCGGAAAACCTTATGATATATACAAGAAAGAATCTTAATGAAAAAGGATATACGCCTATCAATCCCATGCAAGTTGATCAATATTATTGACATCACCATACATTCCACAAGGGAAAAGTGCAGCATCCATAAACTCAAAGTCAAAGTTAGAGGTGTCAAATGAATTATCCACGTTCTGCTCACCGATCAAATCATTGGATTTATAAATTTGCGCTTGCCCTTCACAAGCCTGTTTCACCTGTGCCGGTTCTTGCTGTTGTAGCTGCATTTCTAATTGTCTTGCGGTTTCGAAGGGTTCAAAAGCACTAGCACCCCACGTGCTATTCTCATTTAGAACCCCAAACCCAGATGGAGTTAAGGAAGAAGATGACATGGGAGTACTTTCCATTGAATAACCACTAGATATCTCCATCACAGAAGGCTGGCTTTGAGTTCTAACATTCCAAGAAAAGTTAGGGTTTCCATGTTCAAAGGTTGGAAGGATTGAACTTTCATTCAAGGAGGTAGAATTTGAAGGATTATTACCAGCATGTGAAATTGGAGGTAGTGTTCGAATATGCGCTTTCGCACTCAAGAAAACATCTTTGGCTTGTGAAGAACTTACAGAGAATAGTGAGGAGGGTCGTTCATGGATGTGAGACAATTTACCTGCTTGATTATTAGTATTGCAATTTTGGTTAGGGGAGAGGAGATTGTGAGTGTTGGGATCTAACCCTTGAGCAATAAGCTTTTTTTTAATGCATGAGTTCCAAAAGTTCTTCACTTCATTGTCTGTCCTACCAGGTAGGTGTTTGGCTATCTGAGCCCATCTGTTACCGAGAATCCTATGAACATCAATGATGGTTCTCTCCTCTTGTTCCGTAAAAGAACCCCTTTTGAGATCTGGCCTCAGGTAATTTATCCACCTTAATCTACAACTCTTTCCACACCTTTGCAGGTCTGCAATCTCAGAGTCAAGGACCATTTCAAGCATTAACAAGATAAACAAGAGCATGATGAGAATAGAAAGACAACAGCGTACAATACCTGCTAGTTTTGGAATAGAACTCCAACAGCCATGGCCATGGTTGGTGATG